TTGAGCTCTGATCTGGAAAGTTCTGTGTGAGACTACGCACAACATGGAGGTATTGTCAGGATTCTAACTTTTCCCAGGGCACTGATTATTCCCACCAAAAATACAGTCACTTGAAGTATTTGCTAACCTTACTTGCTCTACCCATGTATGATCTCTGAACTCACATTATTCAGACCTGCATTCCTCTCAGCATAAAAAACACGGGCAATCGTGGCAGGATGTGGGCCAGGATAATTACCCAAGGAACACTTAATCTCCTCCATGCGACTCTTAAGACTCAGATCATAAAATCAGAGATGTTAGCCCTGGATGGAACCTTCATGATCAGTTTTCCCTGTGTCTCAGTTTCTGAGTGAGGAAAAGTGTCCAGAGAAGGAAAGTGACTAAGGTGACAGAGAGAGTGTCATTAAGGTGCTGGTGCAGGTACCTGAGGCTCATGGCTCTGGAGTCAGTGTTCCTTTTACTGTCACGCTAACATTTTTAAACCTAGTTATTAGAGTTGTCTTATCAAGGTGAATCATTAAGTGAATTCCATCTTCATCTGTGTGTCATAAAAACCAATGAAACCTTTACTAAATATTCAAATAATCCTCAATACATGCAAGCTCAACTTGCTGCTAGGAGTTAATGAGGTGGAAAACAGGAGATTTCTTGAGCCCCTGAAACAGAGCAGCAAGGTGTGTAGAGGTGTTGTGTATGGAGAATTAAGCAGCAAGGTGTGCAGAGGTGTTGTGTATGGAGAATTCAGGACCGTGTCTCTCTCATTCACTCCTGGGGCGATTTTAGTAATGGCTTGACCTTTTCATAGATTGAGCTGGGTATCAGTTACCATTGTTTTCTTTTCCAAATAAAAAATAATCAGGTGATATCTGTAAATGGTTCCATTGTCAATATTAGAGAACATGATGCTCAAAAGAGATTAGGAAAAACTATAGTAGGGGTGGGGTGTGGAGAGCTAATTTTGTCCTTGAATTGTAACAGTTCTATTTGGTGGTGAAGTTTATGTTGGTTGGCTATTTGCAGATGGTCCTACTATTGGAATTTTCTCTACCAAAAACCAACTGCATTTTATTCTGTGAACATATGCCCTGCCAGCGTGATACCACCAGTGTCTTTGTGAAATAGCCACTGTCACTCAAAAGATGATGATGTCCTCTTTTGGTTGAGGCAAGATAACAATGAACTCAGTGAAGAAAGTTTATAAAATAAGCATACCATTCAGATTAATACACATTTTAATTGCTTTGCTATGAATTGCAGCCAAAATAACAATTCAACAAGTGAGTTTATTGTGATAGAGATGAGAGGCTATGGAAAAATGTAATGGAGATCCAATGAGAGACTTTAGTTCAAATTAATCAACAGGAAGAAAAACAAACTTATGCAAGACTGAACATTTCTAACTAAAAAGTCTGTGCTACAGCTCATTTGCTAAAATAGTTACCTGTTTTCTCAGAATGTTCTTTTAAGCATTCCATAAACAGGAGTTGCTTTTTGGAAATATCTATATACTTATTTTTTGCAATGTATTGTTGACACTGATTCTGTATTCTTTGATGTAATTTTTCAGGAGTTCTCTGTCTCCCTGTATATTTCTCTCTCTCTCTCTCTCTTTTTAAAAAGATTTTATTTGAAAGGCAGAGATACAGAGAAAGAGAAGGAGAGAGAGAGATAAAGAAAGAAAAAGAGAGTAAGCTTCCATTGGCCGGTTCACTCCCCAGATGGCTGCCATGGCTGGGGCAGGGCCAGGCTAAAGCCAGGAGCCAGGAGCTTCTTCTGTGTCTCCCACATGGGTGAAGGGGCCCAAAAACTTGGGCCATCTCAGCTGCTTTCCCAGGTGCTTTAGCAGGGAGCTGGATGGTAAGTGGAGTAGCTGGGACTCGAACCGGTGCTCATATAGGATGCCAACACTGTAAGTGGAGGCTTAACCTTCTCCACAGCGCTGGCACCTCTGTCTCTGTCTCTGTTTCTTTCTTTCTGTGTGTGTGTTTGTGTGTGTGTGTATAAATATATACAAAAACACTTCAAGAGGTTTGTACAAAAATGGAAGTAAAAGATAAAAATATTCTGGGATAGAAATTTTTGAAATTCATGTATAGGAGGGGCTTCAAATATTTCATGGAAAACATATGTTATGAAAAAACTATGTACATATTTCAAAAATTCTAGCCCTATAATAAATTTATCCATTAATTCAATTTTCTGTGAACTTTTTGAAGTGCCTGTGTGTGTGTGTGTGTGTGTGTGTGTAGAGGAATGAGTTCTGAATAAGGGAGAAAGTGTTCATGCTAATCATGATATAAGCAGTTAATTTCATGCGGTGTGTGCATTCACAGTTCATGCACTTCCAGTTATTATCTCTCAATAAACAAGAAATGATGCTGCATTTGGAATTTTATCCGGTAAACACCAATACTCCCTGATTGTTGCTTCATGGCCACAGGTGGTACTTCCAACATGGATAATACATCCAGTGCCTTGCAGCTCAAGAGAGCCTTTTAGCCAGCTGTAAAGCCACTATTAATAGAAAGAGGAATCAAAGTAAATGTGATATTGACCTTTGTTTATGAAAAACAGCATTATATAGAAAGATTCTAGGATGAAATATTAATCTAAAATAATTTTCAGGTTGAAATATTGCCGCTGTAAGCACATTATAAAAAATGTAGCGCAGATATATACTTTTAAATCCAAGATTTATCTCAACTGCAAATTTTCCTAGTATAAGGAGTTATTTTGAAATGAAATGGTCCATTCTGGAGAAAATATGGTAGGCATAAGTGGAATTTTATAAAAATGGCCTGGCCAACACTTGCACTGCTTGTAATGCAGCTTCAGAGTGGAAACAACCCAACTGCACCACTGTAGAATAATTCGAAAGTACACCTGGTCTTTCGGTGGCAAAGGGTGGCAAGTTAAACAGCACTTAGAATAGAGGAAGCAGCTGTGCAAGTATCAGTGGGGGTAAATGTCAAAAAAATGTTAAATTAAAAAAGAAAAAGCACAAAAAGAATGTCAGGTATATAGAATTTAAAACCTCAGAAACAATTCTCTATACTTATATATGTGTGTAGACATATTTATATCTTCTAAACATGAATACCCATGTAATAAAAGTTCAAAGCATGCATAAACTGATACACAGTAAGTAGTAATGTATTACTTATTTTCTTTTTAAAAAACAATGCTCAGGGGCAGCACTGTGGCACAACAGGTTAAGCTGCTGCCTGAAGTGCCAGTTTCCCATATAGGTGCTGGTTCGAGTCCCAGCTATTCCACTCCAGATCTAGCTCCCTGCTAATGCACCTGGGAAAACAGCAGAGGATGGCTCAAGTCTCTAGGCCCCTGCACCCATGTGGGAGACCTGAAAGAAGCTCCTGGCTTCAATTTGGCTGAGCCCTGGTTGTAGTGGCCATTTGGGGACTGAACTAGAGGTTAGAAGATTTCTCTCTGTCTATCTCTTCTTCTCACTTTGTAACTCTGACTTTCAAATAAGTAAATAAATCTTAAAAAAAAAAAAGAAATAAAAAGAAAGCAGCGCTCCTCAGAGGCTAGGACAAACTATTAATATGTTCTATCTGGGTAGTAAGTTAAGCAATTTTCTCTTAAGGAGAAAATGCTATGCTATATTTCAAACTGGCATTTAAAATATGGCTATGTGAAATGAGAGTACTATAGTATTTCATGTTTGTGATTAGTTTGAAAACTTTTGTAAAGGTAAAGGTTGAGGGGGGTGTGTGTGTGTGTGTGTGTGTGTGTGTGGCTCTTTGGTCTACACAGTTAATTCAAAAATGAAGTATTGTATGTGAAGTACAGAGTGGGCAGCTACACAAAGCCAGCAATCAATCAGTGACAGTTGTCTCTAGGTCAGGACTCCTTGCAGGGATGAAGTTGATGTAGAAAGCATGGTCATCTGTTGAGAATGAGGAGCTTGTAGTACTGGGCACTTGAAGTTTAAACAAGATGTATAAAATAGAAAAGAAAAGTGAACTTATAGGCGAAGCAGAGCAATCCTGGGCAGTATGGTGGCAATGCATTAAAGCTCAGCAATGTGCATTTGGGATGGGCCCAGTTGGCGTAACACCGTTTCCTGGCATGACTTAGCTCCAGATCCCCTCTTCACTAGGTCACAAAAGAACAAAACGGGGGTGGGAAGTATGTGTCTTTCCCTTCTGAAGGCATTTGAGCAAGAAGAGCAATAATTGGACATCCCAAGTTCAGATCCCCAGGTTCAAAACTATTTCTATATATTGTAGAAAAGTGGTGGTGAATTTGATGGGCAATTTGGCTTTGTAGTTGGTGGAAGACCTGGTGAGAGATTTGGAAGAACACAGCTTCCGTGCTCCCTCTTTGAATCAGGCCTTTGAGGAGTCCATGAGTCATGGGCAAAGGGCCTGAGGTGAGTCTGCAGCAAACTGCTGCATTGATGTCCACCCCATCGAGACAGCTAAGGAGCATTTAAATACAGTTAAGCTGGCATGGCCCTCCCTCCTGCTGCTGGCTCCTCTCTCCGTGGTTGGTTGTCTTGAGAAGTGATGTTCATTCCAAAAGTAACGTCATATCTCAGAATACTTTCCAAGTTCTATGAAATGACATCAAGTCACTAGGTCTCTTTTAACTCCATTTTTTCATCTGCAAAATGCAAAAATAATACTGCCTACTCTGAGCCCTAAATTTGTTTTGACATCAAATGGGTAATATTTTAGAAGCTGTTTTGTGCTCTGGAAGTGTTACTAATTAGCACACCATTTCAGAAACAACACCTTTGTTTGATGGTCACTATTACTTTTTAGTTAAAAATGCCTTAGACATAAACTTGTCTCCCACTGACTTTTGCTATAATCCTAAATCAAATCTTAGTTCACAGTACTCAGAGATTAAAAATAGTGTCAGGAGTTTATATATCATGTGATCCTCTGTGTAAGTGCATTTTGCTTACTCCCCTAAAGATGAAATTGTGAGAGGTGATTTTTAATTTCTTTCCTCTTCACTTTCTGCAGGAAGTCACCAAAGCCGTACAGCCTCTCCTATTGGGGCGAATCATAGCTTCCTATGATCCAGACAACAAGGTGGAGCGCTCCATTGCCATTTACCTGGGCATAGGTCTGTGCTTACTCTTTGTTGTGAGGACCCTACTCCTACACCCAGCAATTTTTGGTCTTCATCATATTGGAATGCAGATGAGAATAGCCATGTTCAGTTTGATTTATAAGAAGGTAAGACTTGCTTGCACAGTCTCCATGGTCTGTATATTCTCCTTGGTACATATTTTAAATGCCATAAAATAGGTTCTGATAAGTAAAAGGATAAGACACTGCTAAAAAAAAAAAAGTGGTTTTAATTCAATCAGTGTTTAATTGATGTTTGCAATTAATTTTAATTGATAGTTTTAATTTCCCTTAATAATTCACTTTAACTATTTTTTATTGAGCATGTTCTGTAAGCTGCCTGTATTATAGGTTTCTTTTTTTTCATTAGTGATGTTATCAAATTTTTTTGAATCCAGGTTCTCTATTAAAATAATACCCAAAGTTTGCATAAAAGTCATTGGCAAAATATCAACTTTTGGTTAAATACCATGTATCTTTATGTTCAATAACAAGAGTATGAGGGTGCTCCAAAAAGTTTGTAGAAATTGAAATTAAAAGACAAGTTTATTTTGGTGCAAATGTTTTTTGAAATCCTTACATTATGACGGGATCTTCAGATGGTTCACAGAAAATGTGGATTATGAAAAACTATGTGTGGATTTCAAAATTATTTTGCAGCAAGACAAACATCTTTTAATTCTGTCATCCACAAATTTTGAAGTACTTAGTCCTGGTATAATGTACAATTATTAGTGATAAACGAAGCAATAAGCTTCCATTTTAACTAGCTGTTACAAGTGGTGATATCCATTAGCTATTTTGAGTTGGATTTTTATCATCCTGTAACTCTTGCAAATTTAAAGTTTTTGGAATAGTACATGCATTGACACAATACAAAAACACTCTGCATTTGTGTGTATATATTATCTAAGGTAAAATCTAAGATACTGAAGAATGATTTAGGTGAATTCAAATGAACATTTAGCTACTTTATAAATATGATTTCAGGTCATTTCAATGGCATATTCTTTCCTCAACCTGATTAAATACCAGTAATGACTACTTGGCTCTGCTGAGTCATCACAGAAAGTGGTTTTGATCGAATTATTTGGATGTTGCCCTACTGTTCTTCTATTTTTTCCTATTCCAGTGTAAAAACATTATGTACTTAGCTTATAAGTGACGTGGATCTGAAATTCACCTCTAATAATTAACCTATAACACCTTCATGATATACTTACAAGGTCAATTGTGCTGTAAAACCTTGATAACCACATTTTATTGTTCCAAAACACCTTTTATGGAGGCAGATGAAAAAAATCGAGCTCACAGTTTAATCCAATTGCCTCAGAAACAATTTCTTCAGATCACAAGTACTGAGAAAATGGGTGATCAATCAACAAAAATTGTGTTTTGATGCAGAAATTTTACAGAATTGAAGGAATTATTAGGTATTCTTCAGGATAGAGAATCTACACAGTTTGCATGTCAAAGAAAGTTGAATTTAACTTAATAAATATTTTAAAAAGTGTATGTCGTAATGACAACTAATAGGTAGGGATAATGCATACCAAGCTTCTGAATGATTCAATTACACAGTCTCATTGTATCTGCCCACAACTCCATGGGGTCAGTGCTATTATTTGTATTTTCTGGATAAGGAAACTTAAGACCAACTTGGTACACAAACTATACCAAAGGTAAGTAAATAAATAAATTAAGCTAAAAATAGATAAATCAGTCCCTGAGATGGAGAGATTTCCAAAGTATTAGAGAAAATGAAGTACACACTAGAACGGCAGTGGTGAGTCCAAGCGAGTGACATGGGAAGAGGAAGGCATGAGGTGCAGTAGGCTACGAGGGAGGTGAGACAGAAAAGGTTAGCTTGTAAACAAGTCCTTGTGTAACAGGTAGTACAAACACAGCAACATGTGTACTTTCCGGGCGAGAATAGTTGATGTTAAGTGAGATACGATCTTGTCTTTCTCAACATGGAACATCTGTGTTCTTACCCAGTTTGCTTTACATCACTAGCCACACTTACTGGGCCTCCCTTGGCATCACCAACAAAGAATGCAACTGTGTTTTCATGTGACTCTGCTTTGGTCCTTCTCAAGTCTCACCCTATCCCAGAGCTGACCTGTTGTATCTTTGTAGCAGGTGCATAGGACCCTTCCTGCAACGTTCCACATTTTGTGATAGAGCACTCTTTTTTTTTTCTTTTTTTTACCTTATTCCAAATTCTGCAATTATGAAGCATCTTACTTTAAATTTTCAATACAAAAAAATTGAGCTTTGCCTGTGCATTTCAAAAATGCAGAAGTAACTAACGAATACTGAGTTCTTATTGTGCACACAGCTATCTGGTAAGCCCTGTGCAGAAAGTCACCTGAGATTGAGTTTGTTTCTTAATCATGTAGGATCCAGCTTAGTGGATTTTGCCCTCTCGAGTTATTCTGCCATTGTTTTGGAATGAAATGCCCTGGTTTCTTCTCCATCTCTACTTATATAAACATTTTTCATTATTCCAAATCCATCTCTATAGAATTTTTCAAGATTTTTCTAACCAGAAGTGTGAACTTTCTCCTAACTAGCTTATTCTTTTCTTTTTAATTTTAAAAATTGACAATAAAAATTTTAAATACTTATGTGATATTCCAATATATGTATACATTGTGTACTGTGCAAATCAGTATCTTATTATTTTCTATTTCCCTTGACTAATTTATCACCTCTATTCAATTATTTGTGTACTAGTTTGCCTTAAGGCAAGACTTAAGTTTTAACAAATCAATAATAGTCCTTCAGACATTAGGTATATCTATTTGATTTGTCTACTAAATACTCAATAAATATGTGATGGATTCAGTTGAAACAAATATTAGATGGATACTTTCCAATCAAAGTCATCTAATGGTAAATCAATTCCTATTAAATTTTACAGGAAAAGTAATATTGTGATCTTTCATCATCATAGTTAATTCATTTACTTAATCACTTTTAAGTTAATTTATAGATAAGTAAGTAGATAAAAGTTGCTTTACCTGCTTAACTATTTTGGGTAAGTCATTGTATTTTTCTTTATAAAACTTAAGATTTTGTATTGTTAATATAATTTTTCTTAAATTAATGTTTCAGTTTTTCATAACATACATGTATTGCCTTTAACTGTGGTTTTATTCAATTGAGTTATATGGGATTGCATGAAAAATTAGAGGCTAAGCTTTTAATCTCAAATTGTACTGCTTTGGTTTCATCCTTTAAGATGAAACAAAACAAAACAAAACAAAACAAAACAAAACAAAAAAGACTTTCTACATTATAAAAATGGGTATTTAAGTACAATATCATTCCTACTATGAAGGAAAAAAATAGTTCCTGTCTGTATGCTGGAAAATAGAATAATCAGAGATGCGTCAGCATAATGCTTGCTGTTGAGAGACGTATTCATAACTCTGAGAGATACTAAGCTGGATGAACTGGAGATGATTTTCACTGTCTCATCCTAAAAATGCATGCATGGTAACCTAATTCCTCAGCTGTGTTGTTGTGTTACTTATACATGTATTTGTTTTTTGCTTGTTGACCTCACCTAACTTCCCATTTTTCTTTTAGACTTTAAAGCTGTCAAGCCGTGTTCTAGATAAAATAAGTATTGGGCAACTTATTAGTCTCCTTTCCAACAACCTGAACAAATTTGATGAAGTATGTACCTACTGATTTAATCTCTTATGCATTGTTGTTATAAATCATACATCCCCAAAGGTGGAGTTCTCCTAAGTCCGATAACAATTATAGGTGGTTAAGTGGGACCCCTCTTGCCCTTCCCTGTTTTTGGAAACCTAGAAAACTAACTTGGGTAACCAGTTGAGCCTGAGGGAGCCTCCCAGCTCGAAAGCACCTTAGCTTGCTGTTAATAATATTTTCAGAACTTAATCTTTATTAGACGTTGCTTCCCCTTAATACTCTAACTTGGTTATTTACTTTGGCTGAATATGATACTCTGGGCAATTCTTGTCCTCTGCCATCTTATGTGACAAATACACTCAAGGTCCTTGGGGACAACAAATGTGTTTTTTTTTTTTTTTTTTTTTTTTTTGACAGGCAGAGTGGACTGTGAGAGAGAGAGAGAGAAAGGTCTTCCTTTGCCATTGGTTCACCCTCCAATGGCTGCCGCGGCTGGCGCGCTGCGGCTGGCGCGCTGCGGCCGGCGCACCGCGCTGATCCAAAGGCAGGAGCCAGGTACTTATCCTGGTCTCCCGTGGGGTGCAGGGCCCAAGCACTTGGGCCATCCTCCACTGCACTCCCGGGCCACAGCAGAGAGCTGGCCTGGAAGAGGGGCAACCGGGACAGAATCCGGCGCCCTGACCGGGACTAGAACCTGGTGTGCCGGTGCCGCAAGGCGGAGGATTAGCCTAGTGAGCCGCGGCGCCGGCCAACAAATGTGTTTTACTTATCTTTGCATTTCCAGTAGTTAACATAACATTGGACTCACAGCAAATACTAAATCAATTTATGCTGGATTGGGCATGTTTTAATCTGCATATCTCTGTTAGTAGAGTTATGTAGTTGTCTGGATTGAGTTCTTCATTGTTTTATGTTCTAAATGATGGCTCTTGCTTTATCCCAAGAGAAATGAGTATTGAAAATAAATTATGGACATGATACTTGAGCTATTCAGCATCAGTTCCACTAAATAAAAACATACTTAAAAATGCAGTGATTTGAAACTTGTTCCTTGGGGAAACCCAGGCTGTGTGGAGAACGCTTTAGCACATCGCTGTGAGCTCCTGTAAGGAATGCCTAGATTTCACTGTGCTCAGAAGCATGAGGTGTTGGATTGCAGAAGTCCACAGGGCTCATGTTCTTTCATACGAAATTGTCTGATCTGCAAGGAAGAGGATAAAATGCCACTTGTTCTCCTGTGCTTTCATTTTCCAGGGGCTTGCGCTGGCCCATTTCGTGTGGATTTCACCTCTGCAAGTGACTCTGCTGATGGGGCTGCTCTGGGAACTACTACAGGCCTCTGCCTTCTGCGGCCTTGCTTTCCTAATAGTCCTTGCCCTTGTTCAAGCCGGGCTAGGGAGAATGATGATGAAGTACAGGTAATTGTTTTCATAGCTCGAAAGGATTTTAAACCAGGTCTTCCAGAAGTCCATTCTAGTAACACCAAGACTGCTCTGTGCGCTGAACTGTGATCCTGGGTGTCAGTAAAAAGGCGAGGTTTAAATGCTGCAAATTCTACTTCCTAGATCGATGAGACTTTTTTTTTTTTAATATTTATTTATTTGAAGGACAGAGATACAGAGAAAAGGAGAGAGACAGAGAGAGATCTTCCATCTGCTGGTTCACTCCCCAAATGGCCACAATGGCAGAAGCTGGGCTTGATCCAAAGCCTGGAGCCAGAAACTTCCTCTGGGTCTCCCACAGCATGGGTGCAGGGGCCCAAGGACCTGGGCCATCATTCACTGCTTTTCCAGGTCATAGCAGAGACCTGGATCAGAAGTGGAGTGGCAGAAACTCAAAGCACCACCCATGTGGGATGTCAGCACTGCAGGCAGCGGCCCTACCCACTGTGCCACGGCACTGGCCCCTCTATAGAAATTTTTTTTGATAAATGTGTTGATTCTGTGCATTTTTATAGATTGTAAAATTTTGGTTAAAATTGGTACAAGATTTATGTCAATTGAAAAGAATGCATAAATTTTGTGTAGTCTATTGCCTTTCTATACATTGCTTCCTAGGTCATCACACCAGGGCCTTAGTTAAACTTTTATTACAGAAAGAATCTGTGATACCCATCTCGCTTATGATAGAGGACTTCTTGAGTTTGTCAGCTGGAGTGTGAGAAAACATGGACAAATTTTGGAGTCAGGTCGATGCTTGAATCCTGATTGCACATTTCTTAGTTAAGTGACCTTAGTTAAGCTACTTCTCACTGAGTCTCTGGGTTTTTTTTTTTTTTTTAATGTTTTTTGTTTGTTTGTTTGTTTTTGAAATGGAAATAACCACTGTCATAAGGGTTAGGGATCCTATGTGGAATCTATGTAACAGAGTGTCTTTCAAAATGGAGGCATTTACTAATTGGCAGCTCTTCTTTTTGTTACCACCTATTTGATAATAAAATAAATGCCCCGAATGTTTAATGAAAGAAATGTGGCTTTTCTTAAAAACCTGAGCAGTTCTGAGTATACAGTTTGCTTCTAGTATTTGATTGACTGATTGATTTACAGGGATCAGAGAGCTGGAAAGATCAATGAGAGACTAGTGATCACTTCAGAAATGATTGAAAACATCCAATCTGTTAAAGCATACTGCTGGGAGGAAGCGATGGAAAAAATGATTGAAAACCTAAGACAGTAAGTGGTTATAATAATTATAAGATTGTTAGAATTTTATCTTTATTTATTTATTTTTATTTAGTAAATATAAATTTCCAAAGTACAGTTTATGGATTACAATGGCTCCCCTCCCCCCATAACTTCCCTCCCACTCGCACCCCTCCCATCTCCCACTCCCTCTCCCATTCCATTCACATCAAGATTCATTTTCAATTATCTTTATATACAGAAGATCAATTTAGTATATATTAAGTAAAGATTTCATCAGTTTACACCCACACAGAAACACAAAGTGTAAAATACTGTTTCAGTACTAGTTATAGCATTACTTCACATTGGACAACACATTAAGGACAGATCCCACATGAGAAGTAAGTACACAGTGACTCCTGTTGTTGACTTAACAATTTGACACTCTTGTTTATGGCGTCAGTAATCTCCCTAGGCTCTAGTCATGAGTTGCCAAGGCTATGGAAGCCTTTTGAGTTCGCTGACTTCGATCTTACTCTGACAGGGTCATAGTCAAAGTGGAAGTTCTCTCCTCCCTTCAGAGAAAGGTACCTCCTTCTTTGATGGCCCCGTTCTTTCCACTGGGATCTCACTCGCAGAGATCTTTCATTTAGGTCTTTTTTTTTTGTTTTTGTTTTCCAGAGTGTCTTGGCTTTCCATGCCTAGAATACTCTCATGGGCTTAACACACTTGGTTCATTAAAATAATGATGAGAACGCTGCAGTCTGATAACAACATACGATTCTTACTCAAATAAGTGATTTTCCGTTATTGAATTTTTCTTAACTTATATGTTTACTCATGAAAAATGGAAAAAGTCCTCCAGTTGTTCAAAATAATGTTTATGCTTCCTTAACGTAGTAAAAATCATAAATTGTGTTTCTGTAAACCATTTACCTGAGAAGTCAGTTCAGGAAATAAAAGCCACCTTCTGAGAGAGAGCCACTATTTGGCACCTATTTCTAGTCTTTTTTCACCTCAGATTACCTTTTGCTGATTAGTAAAGATTGTATCTGGCAAAAGAAAGAGTACAGCACAGAGTAGATGTGATTGCTGAGGTAATTTGGGGTAAAATATAAACTAGAGCATTTCTGTAGCCAAGAAACCCGTTTTCATTCGTCAAGTTCCGTGTTCTACAAGCTGGATTAAAAAAATAAAAAACTCCTAAGAGACTCATCAGCTGTCATTATACTGCAAAGGGACAGAGTTTCAAGATGTGTAGCACATGAGTTTCACGGGGAAAAACACACTGGAAAGGCAAGCATCCTCTGGGAGGGAGTGAGTGTGGCTGGCTGCGAGTTCAGCCTGCTGTATCCATGGACAGTGGTAGCTGAGCTGCAGGTGTGTGATTGGAACAACAGAAGAAATGCTGAAAAGCTAAGCCCTTTGCCATGTAAATAAAAGGAGTAAAAGAGTGTTTATTTCCCCAACATTTAGGGCCACCTGTTTCTGTTATGCCTTTTAAGACAAACCCAGGAAAGGAATAGCATTTTCTTTCCAGAAACGTCCCTGAGGATCTTGGGGGATTGTTTAGTGGTAGAAGTTTTTCTCGTCAAGAAGGGAGTGCTCCGTTTCACCTGTCCCTGCTGGCACTCTTGTGCCTAGGTGCAGGCGCAGCAAGGTTGGTGAGGAGGTTATTGGAGGATCTGGTTTTTTCAGCCTCATGATCAGCTCGTGGGCAGCTCAGTCTCCTTGCTGACTTCTCTTGACTTTGGTTTTTTCTTTTTCCTCTTCCTTAAATGATGAAATCCATCCGTTCAACTCTGAATTTCGGTTTGACCAATTGTAATAGCAAATGTTTGGTTGTAACCTGTATAATCCGGCATGAAATTGTTACCCGAAAAGGCTGGAAAGTACTGACGTAAATATGGGGAAGCAAGAATTGCCTCTCAACAGAGCAAATAGACTGTTCTGGAAGGGACTGACAGGATGCTCTTCCAAGGAGTAATCACCTCAGCCTGTGCCACTGTTGAATAGGACCAAAGGCTATGCAAAGCTCCCTGAAAATCCACTCTTTTATTGCTCTTTGGTGATAAAATCACTTTGATTTTTTTATAAGAAACTGATAAAATATTTTTATGACTCATAAAGTGTTAGTGATTTGATTATGGTGAGTATTGCCTTCTGGGTGGTTCTTATAAATGTTCTTGGATCCATTATTCTTTTTTCTCTGTTTCTCTTTTTAAAACATTTATTTATTTATTTGAAAGGCAGAGTTACAGAGAGAGAGGGCAAGACAGGGAGAGACTGAGAGACTTTCCATCTGCTGGTTCACTCTCCTGGTTGCAACAGCTGAGGCTTGGCCAGGCTGAGGCCAGGAGAAGTAGAACTCCCTCCAGGGAGGCCTAAGCAGTTAGGCCATCTTCTGCTTCCTTCCCGGGTGCATTAGCAGGGAGCTGATCAGAAGTGGAGCAGCCAGAACTCATGGAATGCAGGATGCTTGCAAGTGGCAGCTTAAGGCTTAACCCGCTGTGCCATAGCAATGGTCTTTGTTGTTTTTTTTTTTTTCTCACAGTTCCTCTTCTTATTATTCTTCACACTTGTTTTTAATATACTTTGACTTATTGTTAACATTTTTGTAACCAGTTCTATCATTTTATTGATATGAAACTATTCAATATGTTTCTGTTTTCTATTGAGGAGAAAGAACACACACGCTAGATTCCAAGTATTAGACCCTCTGCTATGCTCTCATTCAATCTTGAGGGCTCCACAGGGAGGTACTGTGTTTCTCTTTAAATGTAGATTGTATAAAGTCAGAGGAAAGAGTGACTTGCTTAAGATCACATAGGTATAACTGGCAGAGCCAGGATTCAAACTCAGATGAGGTCAAACATCATAATCTGTTTTTAATATCAAGTGGCTGAATTAGGTAATTGTTAGTTCACATTATACTGTGCTTGCAATCTACCCTACGCTCCTGGAACTCCATTTTCTTCATCAGTGTGCCCAGGCTTACAGTGTTTTTTCAGGCTTAACAAAATTTCCTTCAAGTTTTGTCACCTGTGCATGAAAACTGTTCTTCTGAATTGTATAAGTGCATAGAACTAGTGTCCAAATGCCAGCTGCCACCCTATTATGCCATGGCCCAGCCAGTGCTCCCTGCCACCAGAGTTCTCTCTTCATAGCTCAGTTGTCCTTCCCTGCAAGAGGGGAAGGATCACCAATGACTTCAATCTTCATGATTCCTAGAAGAGCGGGGCTGGGGTAACATTGTCCACGGTTCTCGCCACCCTCTGCATTCCCTATGTTCTGCCTGTTGTAATCTCTAAGTCTCATGTAGATGTTTTATAAAAGTTCACATTTACAATACAAGCTAGAGAATTATAACATAATATTGTATGATTGTAAATAATTACCCTGAAATAAGGGGGCCAGACTGGATGCAGTACCTCATCCTATAATTTTTTAAGAACCATCTGTAACAGAATAACTTAGATTCTTTTCCTAGAAGGTAGGTTCTAGAACCCTACTGCAGGTTTACTGAGTGTCTTTGAGAAGTGGGCCTGAAACTTCATTTGAACAATTTCTGGAGTGATCTTTATGCATGCTACAGTTTGAGAACCACTCCCCTGTGACCTATGTGTTATTTTCAGTGTTCCTCAAAGCCATGTTAAAATTTCTAAACTTTTAGGAATCTATTAAGATCCAATTTAAAAAAATGGGCAGTAGATCTTAACAGACATTTCTCAAAGGAAGACATATAAGTGACAAACAGGCACATTAAAAATGCTCAACATTACTAATCATCAGGGAAATGCAAATCAGAACCACAATGAAATATCACTTTACTCCAGTTAGATTGGTTATTATCAAAAAGACAAATGATAACAAATGTTGGCTGTGATCTGGAGAAAGGGAACCTTTGCATATTATTGATGGGAAAGTAAGTTAATACAGCAATGGGGAATACCAGACAGAGGTTCCTCAAAAAATTAAGAAAAGAACTACCATGTGATCCAGTAATCTCACTCCAAGGGTATGTGTCCAAGGGAAATGAAATCACTCTGATGAAAAGACATCTGAACTTCCATGATTTTGTAGCATTCCCAGCAGCCAAGAAAGGAAAACAACCAGTGTTTTTCAGCTGATGAATGGATAAAGAAAATGTAACATATTTATAAAATGGAATACTACTTATTCATAAAAAATTATCTAGTTATCTTCAACGACACGGGTAGAACTGAATGTCATGTTGTTAAGTGAAAAGAGCCAAGCATGGAAAGACAAGTGTCATGTAGAAGTTAAAAGCATAGTGGTGGTTACCAGAATCAGGGGAGGGGTCTGCAGAGGGAGGGACAGGGAGAGGTTGATTGACAGGTACTAGGTTATAGCTTCCTAGGAGTGAGGAGTTCTGGAGTTCTATTGCACAGTAGGGTACCTACAGATAATGCTAATGAGTTGTATATTTCTCTGTTGAGAAAAACCTAAGCTTGGCTGCCTTCACTGTAAAGAAATGTTAAATATTTGAAAGGATACATATATTTACCCAAACTGGATATTATGAAGGTATACGTGTAATAGAACCTCACATAGTACCCTATACGTAGGCATGATGTTACATGTCTTAAAGCACAAATAAAAAGGCAAAAAATTTGTTTTGCTAAGAAAAAATAAAGAAAAAAACTAAAACCAAGGGAAACCTATAAGCCTGAAAAAAGGAATCCATTAGAAAATCAGAGAATTATCTTTTATAAATCTTTCAATATTGTCCTCATTTTCACATTTGATTACTTAAGACATGCACCCACCAACAAAAAATTATGCCTCACAAATCTTACAATAATGAAGTGAATAAATATATAATAATAATGTAATACCTGAAAATTGTAATTATAATTTAAAACTAGTATTTTTAAAGATTTATTTGTTTATTTGAAAAGTAGAGTTACAGAGGTGGGGGGAGAGAGACTGAGACTCTTCCATCTGCTAGTTTACTCCCCAAATGGCTGCAGTTGGCCCAAATTGGCCCAGAGCTGGGCTGATCTGAAGCCAGAAGCTAGGAGCTTCCACTGGGTCTCCCACATGGGTGCAGTGTCCTAAGTATTTGGGCCATCTTCTGCTGCTTTCCCAGGCCATTAGCAGGGAGCTGAGTCAGAAGTGGATCAGCCAGGACTTGAACTGGGGCCCATGAGGGATGCCAGCACCGCAGGGGGAGGCTTAACCTACTACGCCACAGTGCCGGCCCCTAAAATAATCTTTATAGGTTATGTGTACATCCCAAGTATATTCATTACTATTGCCTTTTCAAATAAGGTAGCTGAGGCTCAGAAAGATTAAATAACTTACCCAAGGCCACACAGCTCCTATAACACAGAGCCAGGATCAGAACACAGGAGGAAAGAACTACGGCTCACGTTCAGAGTTTACAGTCTAAAATGCCAGATATTCGAAAAGGAAAATAACATCCTGGGTCTTACCATTCTTATTTATTTCTTAATAGAACAGAACTGAAACTGACCCGGAAAGCAGCCTACGTGAGATACTTCAACAGCTCAGCCTTCTTCTTCTCAGGGTTCTTTGTGGTGTTTTTATCTGTGCTTCCTTACGCACTTACCAAAGGAATCATCCTGCGCAAAATATTCACCACCATCTCATTCTGCATCGTTCTGCGCATGGCCGTTACTCGGCAGTTCCCCTGGGCTGTGCAAACATGGTATGACTCGCTTGGAGCAATAAACAAAATCCAGGTAATGCACTGCACGCGGGCATCATATATTAACACTTCGACACGTTTCGGGATTTTTCTAGCAGATGAATTCTTGGGTTTGGGCTATTTCATGCATAAGGGTTTCCTCTTCTGATGGCTACAGGGGTACTTCAGATGCTCATGGGAGATAGAACTAAAAGGTAAGCTTATTTGGGTGCAAAAAGTTTTAAAATTCACTCCCAGAGGAGTCTTCATAAAGTTAATTGAGAGGTATTTTATGAGACACAGCGTGAATTTCAAGCTTTTTTGTACTAAAGCAAACTTATCTTTAATTTCATTCTTCCACAACTCTTTGAAATTTCTTCATATACATGGTTTAAGAGCTCCTGTAATGAGCCTAGTAAAATAAGAATGAAAGCCTGTGAGATTCTCTCGACTCCAGGCAATTGAAGAAAATTCTCTCTGTACTCTGGAGAATTTCATCCAAGTGATCAGTCAATTGATCAATTTTAAATGAACTTTGCCAAAGTGCAAAAAAAAAAAAATTAGAAAATAACTTTCTTAATTACAACGTTATAAAACTCCCCAGTGGGCCGGCGCCGTGGCTCACTAGGCTAATCCTCCGCTTTGCGGCGCCGGCACACCGGGTTCTAGTCCCGGTCAGGGCGCTGGATTCTGTCCCGGTTGCCCCTCTTCCAGGCCAGCTCTCTGCTGTGGCCAGGGAGTGCAGTGGAGGATGGCCCAAGTGCTAGGGCCCTGCACCCCATGGGAGACCAGGATAAGCACTTGGCTCCTGCCATCAGATCAGCATGGAGCGCTGGCCGCAGCGTGCCAGCCGTGGCGGCCATTGGAGGGTGAACCAACAGCAAAAGGAAGACCTTTCTCTCTGTCTCTCTCTCTCACTGTCCACTCTGCCTGTCAAAAACAAAACAAAAAACAAACAAACAAACAAACAAAAAAAAACAAAAAACCTCCCCAGCAAATACTAGTAATTTTCACCTTAAACTTTCCCCCAACATTTCCCTGGACAGTAGGATGGATGAGAAAAGCATTTTATGCCACATTAGTTACCTTAAAATCTCAACAATGTAACAGAACTCTCAGCTTTAAGAAACTCCAGTCTTCAGGTGAGGAGACTCAGTTTCTACAGAACAAATTGAGTGACCTTATGTGGTTAGTAAGCATATAAAGATATCTTATTATTTGTTTTTAGATACTTATTTAAATACTGAATCCAGAAAATAAACCATGCGGCAGAAATAAAAATATAGAGTGGAGGGTAAGCCACTTTTAGGTGGTTCTGCCATCATTTAACGTGTGCCAGAGGTTGCAATTGGCGGTCCATGGGCCTAACTTTGGCTCCTAGATGTGTTTTGTTGAACCTCTACAGTTTTAAAACTTGAATTAGTTATCGGTGGCTAAAATTTGGGAGTTTGTTTTTTTCTCTGTGTGTCTCTTTGTCACCCCCCCACACACACACACACTCTCACACGTTCATGTCTTCAGCTCTTTTTGAAGAATTGGGACATCCAGCAAACGGTGTCCTTGTTCCCCACATGCTGGGGAAGCTCCTTCATCCCAAGAGGGCCTGCCCTGCCAGGTTCATGGTGATCTGTATCTAGCCCCTTCTGTAATTGTATCACCTGTCTCACTGCTGAGAGTAAGTGTGTTTGAGATCTGGAATTCAGACAAAGTGGTGCCTGTAGCTCTGGGAATTGTCAAATGGCCTCTGATAACCCCATCATTCCTGTGAGTGGGAGAATGAGAGTGGAAGAGGGGAGAGAGAGAGAGAGACCCAGAGAGGATGTTACAGAGTCACAGAGAGTCATTCGACAGAAACACAGAGACAGAGAAACAGGTGTTGAAAACAGAGCTGGGGAAAAGGAGAGAAACCACAGAGGAGTTCGAAAAGAGCAGAGAAGAAAGGCAAGAAGCAAGATGAGAACCAGGCTTTTCTTCTTCCTATGCTCCTGCTTGCCCTAGGAAAACTGTGACTGGGAGTCTCCAGTACCGGCTGTCCCTAAGAGCCATGGCTGCTGCCTAAGACCAGAGATCAGGCCTTTCTGCTTTGACCTTGCCCAGGGTAGTGATGCTATGATACCTTGAAGAAGGAGGGTTCTATGAAGATGCGGATACTGGTTTTTCCTCTGTCCTAATATTGGACTGAGGCCCATTTGTGGGTGACTCAGGGGTCCTTTATAAATGCATCACTAAGGCTAACATGCAAGGATAAACTCATTGCATGTTTAAAACCTAATTCATAAAAAGCTGTATAAAATATTGTTTGTTTAAAGACTAAATTTCAAGTAGGATGAGTCCCAGGGCTTGACAAATTAACTTTAGCACATGGTTATAAAATTAGTAAGAAACTATTTCCAATTTAGTTACTAAAATCCATGTTCAAGATGTAACTCCATTAGAATGTAAAATAGATGTAATAATGTGTTATTACTGTTCTGATCCTATGATATGTTTTTGAAAATAGGATTTCTTACAAAAGCAAGAATATAAAACACTGGAATACAACTTAACAACTACAGAGGTCGTGATGGATAATGTAACAGCCTTCTGGGAAGAGGTCAGAACTTTTCTTTTTTGCTTGTTTGCTCTAAACACTTAAACATTTTTCTCCCTTGTGAATCTGGATTTCATCCTGGTGTAAAATAAAGTTAGAATGATGATACAGCTGCTAGAACTGAAAGGATGATCTTTCCACTTATTTTATAGGTTAAGAAGAAGACACCCAGGAATATTAGATACAGTGTAAAACCTCTCTATTCCTTTTGCAGTTGTAAATTTATTTCATGTAACAGATCAGAAAATTAGCAAGGTCATAGACTTTGGATCTGGGTTTGAATCCGGGCTCTGCTGCTCACTCTGAGTAATCTCCATGGAGCCACTTCACCTCGTGTGGCTTCTGGCTGTCCATGTTACAAAGAGGGTGTTGATGTTGACATTGCAAGTTTGCTATGAAGACTGACAGATTAGTTATTTCAAGTGGTCATCAGAGTACCATGCTCATACTGGTTCCTTAGTAGCTATGACCTTCTTTGGCCTCAAGTTTCAGATGAATGAGAGAGGATAAACAGGAAGGTTGATGGTTTCACTGCTATTTGCAGGTCATTGTTTTTCACTCCAGTGCAAAACACCTCCGTTTTTCTCTGACCTCAGCTACTAAAACAGGTGGCATTCCTGGAGCTGTTACCCTCTGCCGGGCACCAGGATAAACCCTTTTTTATGTTTTGTCTCATTTGATCCCCACATCATTCCTAGGGCCAAAATAATGTTAATATTCTCATTTTACTGATAAGACAATGGAGGCTTTGCAAAGTTGAGGGATTTAGCTCAGCTCACACAGCTGGTAAGGGCTGAAGCTGGAGTTTGGAACAAATGTCACAGTCGAGAGTCCTTTTACTGTACCACAGCCTCCCTTCTGGTGGTATCCTTCTCCACACAGTCCTTGATGGCGTTTATTTGGGGTGGTGGGGCTTGTTAAACCTCTGCTGTCATGTCTGAGTCTTCAGCGTCCCCAAGGATGTTCCTTCCAATGCTGTCCTTAGAACTTTTTTTTCTGGTGGCTTCAGAAACCTTCTCTCTAAGTTGTATCCTGAGCGTTGTTAGCTCCCAGACCACTGTGCTTTGGAAGTGTCACAGGGCTACCATCTCCTTCTCAGTGCAGAACTCCCTAACTGTCCTGCATTCTCTGTCTTGGAATCCTACCTTTGCTGCCTTTCAGTTTCATCAAGATTTTTAGGCTCTTGAATTCTCCCCTTGGAAAATCTCCTGATTTACCTTTGGCTTATTCCAAGACCGTTCATCTTGGCTCTTCTCCCAGCTGCACTCTCAATTAGTTTTTCTTCTTGCTGATTTTTCCCGCAAAGCATTGACTTTATCAGCTGAGAAGAAGGAAATGAAATCTGGGAAAATCATACATTGTTAGTCAGCTGTAAATTTTATACATTTATTGTTGCAACCTCAACTGGGGCTGTAATCCTGGGCAAATCATTTCATTTGTCTTTGATTCCTTTTTCCATTTGCCCAAAAGCTACTAGAATGTTTATCACTTTCCTGAAATTCCCAATGTCTCCCATGACCTGCACACACCCAGTAGGCAGCTGTGGCTTCTACAACACAGAAAATAGAGGCCATGGTCAAGTCTGAATGCTTTCAGTCTCTCTCTTCACCATTGGAAGTATCTTTTCCTCCTACTTTCCTGTCTTGAAGAAGGATGTGTATGTCCCTCTGCCCTTTTCTGAGCTAATCTCTCTTGTTCCTTCTTCTCAGAACAGCGGTGTGCAATTATTCTCTCCCTGGAAGCTGCAACATATCTTTCCAGCTGACTTCTCACACTTACACATTTTCAAGGTATAACATCTCTTCCCTTGCTTCTGTCTACCTCAAAGCTTATCCCCCTCTATCCTCACCTTTTTGGATAACACTGCATTGCAAACAGGATTTTCCCCTTATCTGTCTATAAAAAATGTTCTGTTCTTCTGGAATTCGCCACTTAGTTTAGCCTTAATGAACCAATCTTTCTGGATTATTTTAGCCTCACACCACAGATGCTGAGTCTGCCCCGTCTGCTCCTTCAGAGAGGTGCTGTAGCACTGGGTCCCCCCGCCATTTCTCCTGCAGGCATTTCTCTGGGTGACCTCACTCAGACTCAGCTGACACCAACATGCTGGTGACTCTGCAGTGCAAATCTCTGGCTCGTTTCCTTGCTGAGGTTCACATATGTGTTCCTAAGCTCCCTGCTTGCTCCTCAAGTCCTTCATGTTCATCTCTCCCCGACTGTCCTTGCTCTGCTCCTTCCACTGTATTCTCCATCTCCTTTGATGGTAACACTCAAGGCAAGTCCCTGCTGGGTTATACACGACTCCTCCCTTGATCCCAACCTCTGAGTAGCTACAATTTCTACCTAAGTAATTAGGAAGATAGGGCTGGGGCCAGTGCCGTGGCGCACTAGTTAATCCTCCACCTGCAGCACCAGCATCCCATGTGGGCGCAGGGTTCTAGTCCCGGTTGCTCCTCTTCCAGTCCAACTCTCTGCTGTGGCCCGGGAGTGCAGTGGAGGATGGCCCAAGTGCTTGGGCCCTGCACCTGCATGGGAGACCAGGAGAAGCACCTGGCTCCTGGCTTCAGATCAGTGCTGCGCTGGCTGTAGTGGCCATTTGGGGAGTGAACCAACGGAAGGAAGACCTTTCTCTCTCTCTCTCTCTCACTGTCTATAACTCTACCTGTCAAATAAATAAAACAAGAAAAAAAGAAGAAAAAGGAAAAAAAGGAAAATGGGGCTTAGAGAGTTTAAGTAACTAGAACAAAGTCACACAACTGGTGAGGGCAGAGCTAAGATGTCAGCCTAGATTTCTGTGACTTCAAAGCTTCTTTTCCATTCACCATCTTGCCACTTATTTTTCAAAAACAACAAAAGAGTGACTGTTGCTTTACTGTAAACCACACTCTCATCTATATCATGAACTCATTTTGTACCCTCCACAACTCGCAACACTGAAGCTCTGCGCATTGTAAAGACTTGCCAGCCACCACCCAGGTAGTTGAAGGATGAGAGCAAGGTTGGGAGGAAGAAAAAGGCTGTCTCAGCCATTCCCTCCCAACTGCAGGGACCCTTCAACGTGGGAAGTGTTCAGCCTGAATAGGAATCAAATAAATACAGTGAGATAATGTTTTCACATATGAAACTACAAATAAAGTCAAAGACCAAACAAAACCCAAATCAAAAAGCAACAGTGTTGCTAAGAATTCCTGGACACCAAGTCCAACTTTGTGGCTTAGGGGGTTAACCCACTGCCTGAGGATCCAGTGGTTACATCCCATATGGGCACCTGTTCATGTCCTGGCTGCTCCACTTCTGATCCAGCTTCCTGCTAATGGCCTGAAGAAAGAAGCAACAGATGGTCCAAGTGCTTGGGTCCCTGAACTCATGTGGGAGACCCACATGGAGTTCCAGGATCCTGGCTTCAGCTTGACCTATCCCTGGCTATTGTGGCCATTTGGGGAGTGAACAGTGGATAGATCTCTCTCTCTCTCTCTCTCTTTCAAATAAATCAATAAATCTTAAAAAAAGGAAGAATTCCTGAAAATCAGCACTTACATTTATTGCTGGTGGGAAGTTTGGAACCACCTTCCAAAATACTTAGAATTTTACATACCTTTTGCTCTGTGCTTGATCTTAGCCAAAAGACTGAGAAAGCAATGCCTTTTGCTTTGGAAATTCTACTTACTAAATTTTATGGTTAGCATTAAAAAAAAAGCATATGCCCCAAGATTCATAGTAAAATATTTGCATCAAAGAACTTTTTATTACATTTTATACAAAGGAAACCATATAATAGAAAAGTATTTATAGTTTATCTATACTTTATGATAATCTCATGTAATTAAAAATTATGTTAAGACAACATGTGTGAAAATACATCTTATTAAAAGTCAGGATAAACAGGTCACAAACATCATATATAATTTCTGTCAGTGACAGAGTTGTGTGTGTGATTTTTATGTAATATCAACTGAAATGCTAAGACACAGTTACTTCTCAGTGGTAGGATGGCCTATGATTTTCATTTTCTTCTTTCAGCTTTCCTGTTTTCCAGCATTTCCTGAATTCAAGAAGTGTCTTATGTAATCAGAAGTAAAAGTTATTAGTAACAATTGGTCTGAATGCTTACTGGGTAAAGGTCCCACTTCTAAGCATAGTACCCAAGTGTCAGCCTTGTCATATTGCAATACGCATTTGACCCAGCCTCTCACCATTTCAGAGGCATTTATTGTTCTTTTAAGGCTAAATCATCGTGCGTGCACATGGATCTCCCTGGGACATCTGTAACCATTCTTGTTCTTGTGAAACCCATGCCCACCCCCTTACGTCCCTCCTAGCCCAGAGTGTCTGATATTTACTTGGTCAAGGCTGAGTTGGTTGTTGTCTCCAATGTACTCCCATAGGGCTCTGTGTGATTTTTACTTGTTGTGCTGACCACATGGCATTCTATCATGTGGGATTTTTGAAGGGGCCTGGAAAACAGACATGGTGCTTCATGATAAGTATCTACTAGGTAAATGCATGAATAAGAGAATAACAAATTCCTTTGTTTCATTTTTAAATACTTTTATTTGCCCACTCCTTAAAAACTCTGTTTTCAGTTGTCTGAAGACTGAGGAGGTGTTACCCACCCATACATATCATAAGAACTCAGAATGATGGTCTTCAAGTTTAATTGCTTATATATTCCCAAAGGGGATTTTTGAAAATATGCCCTCTCTACATTTTTAAGTTGGTGTAGATTTTTCAACCTAGGTTTAAGTGAGGACAAATGATGTAATTTCCTTTTTATTGTATTGTCTAAGTGTGTTAAATGAATTTTTGTCAAAAGTTTAGAGCTGCAGTTTCAGTGCATTTAATTCAGAGGAAATAAATGCATTTATGAAGTCAGTCCTCATGGTCAAGCCAATCAGCTATGATTTTTCTGTCAACATATAACATATGTTATATAACATATGTTAATAACATATTATTTTCAAATATATCAGATTTATCTAAAAAATCTTATGATGAGGATTAGATACTTAATAATTTATTAATTTATTTATTCATTATTAGAAATTAAACAATTACTTAACTGGTTCATTATAATGCCGAATCCCCTAATTCATTTCTGAAATTTTATTCTGAGATAGGTAAGACATATAGTTACACTGCTTTAAATGTGAAATCTGGGTGAAATAGATTGGTTTTTCAATATTTCTTGCTTTGCTTTTATGGGACAGTCTCTTTCAGGAGAAAAACATTTCATATGGTCCTTTTGTTTAAGCCCCAGGGTTTTTTTTTTTTTAATAACTACAGATTTTTAATTTACTTTTTATTTATTTGAGAGGCAGGAGCAGACACAGCCACACAGAGCTCCCATCTGCTGGTTTACAGCCAGGGCTGGATCAGAACTCAAGCCAGGACTCCCAAGCAGCCTGCAGGGACCCAGCTACTTCTGCCTCGAAGAGTGAGCCTTAGGAAGCTGGAAGTGGGAGCAGAGCCAGGCTTCAAAGCCAGGCATTCCGATGGGGGTGCAGGCATCCCAGCTGGCAGCTTAACTGCCCCCGATAGGTTTTCATCCTCTGGAGTGGGGCATGCAAGACTCACACTAACTTGCAGAGTAGGTGAGAGGGTCCTCTCTTCTGTGTAAGGTGAGGGAAGGACAGCTGTGAGGGAGAACTCAAGAGAAATGATAGTGGCAAACTTTTGGACAGATTTATTTTAGGAGAGAGGACATTTGGATGTTGAGGATCTGAAAACAGATTCCCCGTAAAACTAGGTGAACCAGTTTCCTCCTAATCAATCCGCAGGGCTGTTCCTTTGGTTTGAAGACCACCATCCTAAGACTTCCCATGCAGGTAATAGACAAGGGGTTTTCTCCTCACCAACTACTCTCGCATAAATGGATTCGTTTAAATCAGTTCATATTTATATTCAGTGATAATTGCTTCAGGAAATGCTTTGAGTTTCTTGGAAGCTGCCACCAATCTGACTGAACAGAAGTCAGGTTTGTGTTGTAATTCCATTCCATGACCAACTAATTATATAACTTTAGTCATTTAACCTCTCTGAGTCAGTCTATCTATAGCTTTGAACAAAGAGGATTATAAAAATCTACCTCTTATTTTATGCTGAGTATTAAATAATAATGTTTGTAAACTAGCCTATAGGAAGTAAGTGTGGGTGTATTCAGTCTTTAATTAAACCAAATGTAATTTGATAATGGACAAAGATTTGAGAAAGTGCAATAATGTTTTCATTACAACTCTAAGTTTCCAATGTCTTGGATTGCGCATTCTAGAAACTGTGTGGCATATAATTTTGTACTGTAAACTAATAAAATATATGGTATAATGGGTCATATGCCATCTGCTTTAAATTAGTTGTACATAAAACAGATATCTATTGAAAATATCTGAAAACACTTTTCTTTTCAATTTTTTATAGGGATTTGGGGAATTATTTGAGAAAGCAAAGCAAAACAATAGTGATAGAAAAATCTCCAATGGTGATAACAACCTCTTCTTCAGTAATTTCTCACTTCTTGGTGCTCCTGTCTTGAAAGATATCAGCTTCAAGATAGAAAGAGGGCAGCTGTTGGCGGTGGCTGGATCTACTGGTGCTGGAAAGGTATTCTCTTCTTTTTCTCATCATTAAGAACGTAATTTGCCATGCATTCCTCCTTATTTCTCTAGCTTTTTTTTTTTCTTTCATAATATGCGAAGATGTTTTGGAGAAATCAAGTTTTTTTAACAGAAACAAAAACTATACATATTTGTGCCATATGATGCAATGTTTAAATACATGTATACATTGTATAATGTCCAGTTGGGGTAAATATATCCAAATCCTGTAACATTTAACATTTCTTTATGGCTAAAACATTCAACATCCTATCCTCTAGCTCCCATGTTTTAAACAGAGAAATACACATTATTTAAATTACATGATCTATATTCACCCTAATATGCAATAGACCCCTAGAACTTCTTACTCTAACTGTAACTTACTACCCATTTATTGAAAAGATTGTTCTTTTTCTACCACATAGTCTTGGCACTTTTGTCAAAGATCAGTTGATTGTTTTTCGAGTGGCTTTACTTCTAGGTTCTCTGTTCCATTTCACTGGTCTATCAATCTGTTTTTATGCCAATACTGTGCTGTTTTAATTATGAAGCCTTGTAATATTTAATTTGTAACTTAAAATCAAGTGATATAATGCCTCCTGCTTTGTACTTTTTGCTCAAGATTGTTTTGGTTATTTGGGTCTTTTGTGGCTACCTATGAATTTTAATAGTGTTTTTTCTATTTTTGTGAAAAATGTTGGCTGGCGCCGCGGCTCACTAGGCTAATCTTCTGCCTGCGGCGCCGGCACTCTGGGTTCTAGTCCCGGTCGGGGCACCAGATTCTGTCCCGGTTGCCCCTCTTCCAGTCCAGCTCTCTGCTGTGGCCCAGGAAGGCAGTGGAGGATGACCCAAGTGCTTGGGCCCTGCACCCGCATGGGAGACCAGGAGGCAGCACCTGCCTTCTGGCTTCGGATCGGCACAGCATGCTGGCTGTAGTGGCCAGTTGGGGGGTGAACCAACAGAAAAGGAAGACCTTTCTCTCTGTCTCTCTCTCTCTCACTGTCTAACTCTGCCTGTCCAAAAAAAAAAAAAATGTCATTATATTATTGGTATTTTGATAGGGGTTGTATTCAGTCTGTAAATCACTTTGGGTAGTATGGGCATTTTAACTATACGAATACTCTCAGTTCACAAACTCAGATGCTTTTCCATTTCCTTGTGTCATTTTCAGTTTCTTTCACCAGTGAATTATAGTTTTCATTGTATAGATCCTTCACCTGTTTGATTCAGTTTATTCCATGTATATATTTGTAACTATTGGAAATGAGAGTGCTGTTTTGATTTCTGTTTCTTTTTTTGTTGGTATGTAACAAGACCACCTGTTTTTTTGTGTTGACTGTACTTGCAACTTTGCTGAATTTGTTAGTGCTAATAGTTTCTTTGTGAAGTCTTTGGCATTTTATATATAAGATCTTCTCACCTGCAAGCTGATGATTTGGCTTCCTCCTTTCCAATTTGGGGTGCCCTTTCTTTCTCTCATCTAATTGCTTTGGCTAGGACTCACTGTTCTATGCTAAATAAAATGGTGCAAGTGAGCATCTTTGTCTTGTTCTGGATCCTAGAAAAAAGCCCATCAGCTTTCTCCATTCTGTGTGATGTTAGCTGTTGACTTGTTACAAATCTGGCCTTCATTATGTTGATTTATATTCCTTTTAGATCTAATTTGCTTAGAGTTTTTATCATGAAGGGGTGTTGAATTTTATCAAATGTCTTTTCTACATTTGTTGAATTGATCATATAATTTTTGTCTTTGGTTCTGTTAACTGTTGATGTGATGTATCATGTTTATAGATTTGCATATGTTGATGATCCTTTCCAGGGATGAATCTTGCCTAATTATAGTGAACGATGTATTGAATGTGTTGTTGGATTTTTGTATGCTAGTATTTTGTTGAGGGTTTTTGTGTGTATGTTTATCAAGGATATTGCCCTGCAGCTTTCTTATTTTGTTATGTCCTATTTTGTTTTTGTTTTCTTTTTTTTAAGATTCTGTTTAATTTGAGAGATAGAGTTATAGACAAATAGAGGGAGAGACAGAGAGCAGGGTCTTCCATCTGCTGGTTCACTCCCCAAATGGCCTCAACAGCCTGCCAGGGCTGAGCCAATACAAAGCCAGGAGTTAGGAGCCTCTTGCAGTTCTTCCATGTGAGTGCTGGTGTCCAAGCACTTGGGCCATCCTCCACTGCTTTCCCAGGCCATAAGCAGAGAGCTGGATTAGAAGAAGAACACTGGGACACCAGCTGGCCCCCATATAGGATACTGGGTGGTGCAAGTGGAGGCTTAGTCTACTATGCCACAGTGCCAGCCCCAGGTTTTTTTTTTTTTTTTTTTTTTTTTTTTTTTTAATCAGGGTTAAGTTTGGTCTCATAGGATGAACTGGAAGAATTTCTTCCTCTTCTATTTTGTGGAAAAAGTTAAGCTGTGTTAAGTGGTGTTAATTCTTTTTTAAATGTTTGATGGAACTCAGCAATGAAGCTGTCTGGTGATGTGCTTTACTTTGATGGAGTTAGCTTAATGACTGATTCAATCTTGCTACCTAGTATTGGTGTATTTATGACTCTATTTCTTCATGAGTCAATCTTGGTAAGGTGTATGTGTCCAGGAATTTGTGTTTCTTCTAGGTTATCAAATTCGTTGCCATGTAGTTATTCATAGTAGTCTCTATCAGTCCTTTGTATTTCTGTGGTGTAGTTGTAATGTCACCATTTTCATGTCTGATTTTATGTATTTGAATCTTTTCTTTTACTTAGTCTAGCTAAGAGCTTTTCAATTTGTTTATTTTTTCAAGGAACTAGCTTCTTGCTTCATTGATTGTATTTTAGTATATGTTTTAGTATCTGTCATCTATTGGTGCTGAGTCTTCAGTATCGTTGTTGCTGTTATTTGAGAGAGACTATTAGAGACTAGAGACTATTAGAGAGAATGAGCTCCCATCTGCTGGGCCAGGTGGAAGCTGATATCCAGGAACTCAATCCATGCCTCCCAGTGGATGGCAGGGATGCAACTCCTTTATCTATCACATGCTGCTTCCCAGGGTCCACATTAGCAGGAGGCTGGAGTCAGGGACAGAGCCAGGACTTGACCTGGCATTTTGATATGGAACATCAGCATCTTAACTGGTATCTTAACCTCTCAGCCAGATGCTCACTCTGTGCTCTGAGTTTTATTATTTCTTTAATTTTTATTTTATCTGTTTTTGTTTTTCTAGTTCCTTGGTAAGTCTTTATTGGAGATATTTCTACTTTGATATAGGCATCAATTGATGTAAACTTACCTTTTAGTACTGCTTCTGCTGAATCCCATATGTTTTAGTATGTTGTGTTTCAATTTTCATTGTTTCAAAACTTTTTTTCGTAATTTTCCTTTATCTACTGGTTGCTCAAGAATAAGTCACTTAATTTCCACGTCTTTATGTAGTTTCCAAAGTTTTCCTTGTTACTGATTTCTAGTTTTATTGCATTAATGTCAGAAAAGATATTTGATATGATTTCTGCTTTAAAAAATTGTTCAGGCTTGTTTTGTAGTTGTATGATCTATGTGACCTGCCATATGATTTATCCATATGCTGTTGAGAGAAATGTGTATTCTATAGCTTTGGATGGAATGATCTATAGATGTCTAGTAGGTCCCATTCACTCTCCTGTTTCTTTTTTGATTTTCTGTCTGCATCATATGTCATTTTCTGAGAGTGAAGTGTTTGCAGAAATTCTTACATTAATATTAGGGCAATATTTGGGTATAGTGTCCCTTATAATATAAATGGTTCCAAGAATAATTTCCTCTGGTTTTTATTTCCTGATATTTCTGGTGACCTTTTACTTACTCATCTTTAGATTTTGAATGGTGTTTACACATGATAGGCATTCAGTAATTTCATTGAACAACTGAAACATCCATTTTTACCAGTCTTTTGCATAGGCATTTTTTATACTATTAGAATCATTGCTTAGATTTTTATCTCAGTATCAATGTAAGCAGGTCCCCATTTTGTTGACAAAGAATTTTAGAATATAGACTTGCTCGTGATATATTATGAGGAAAAAATATAGAATTGAGTGGTTTTTGAGGGAAAATATAGAAACATTAATTTTTTAAAAGATTTATTTTACTTATTTGAAAGACAGTTACAGAGAGAGGAAGAGACAGAGAGAGAGGTCTTCCATCTGCTGGTTTACTCCCCAGATGGCCGCAACGGGCGGAGCTGCACTAATCTGAAGCCAGGAGCCAAGAACTTCTTCCGAGTCTCCCATCTGGGTGCAGGAGTCCAAGGACTTAGGCCATCCTCTACTGCTTTCCCAGGCCATAGCAGAGAGCTGGATCGGAAGAGGAGCAGCCGGGACTAGAACCAGTGCCCACATGGGATGCTGGCACTTCAGGCCAGGGCTTTAACTCTGCACCACGGCGTCATCAGAAACATTAATTTATTCATTTATTGGTCTCTCCTTCACATCCCACCCTAAGAGTAACTTACCGTAAACCCAGGATATTTGGCAAAACATTTCTCAAGTGGGTTAGAGAGAGAGAGAGAGCTAACAGATCAAACTTTATTATTCAAGGAAGAGAAGATTTTATAGTGATTTTCAAGGATGTCAGCTATCATGCAGATAAAGGTTAACATTTGTTGTATTTAAACTCTCAGAAATAAGTTCACAGCACATAAAGTAATCAACTTAGGGAGCCTTTAATTATCTCTCTTATTGGAAAAGCCTGCCGGAGCAATGAGTATTTGACTCTCATTTGAACTGTGTGTAAGAAAAAGTGTAACGATCTTATGAAGCATTTTGAAGTACTTTCTGGAACTGTACCTAAGGATATAGGTCAGAGAAAAAAAAAAAAGAAGGGAGAGGGGAAAAGGGGAGGTGCGGAGAAAGAACAGGAGATAGAGAAGGAGGGGAGGAAGCAGAGAGGAAAAAGGAAGGAAAGAAAGGAGAAAGCAACAGTGCCACCATCAAGTAAAAATGGAAATAAAGACTCCAAATAGGCAGTGGTTTACTATTTTCTAAG